GCCATGTTGGTCTGAAGGCTGGTCCTAGGATCACCAGACTTGAGGGACCAATGACAGAACAGCCATCTCTTGTCCCTGCTTGGATGTGACCTCAGGGGAAGGAGGGTGGCACCCGTGGAGCGTCTCTGGTGCTCTTCTGCCTACAGCACCTTCAGCCTCAGCCTCCCCCTCACCCAACCCACAAGCTGAGGTCTACACAGGCTTAATACTTGCAAAAACAGGAGTGGGAAATGCAAAAAAAAAAAAAAATCACCCCAAAACAATCGAATAAAAATGCTTTGGTGGTATTTGTAATAATAGAAATTATCTGGCATTGATTCTCTCACATTTATTTTCCTTCCTGTTTGGGTGTCTAACTAGCCAGCAGCTCTGCTTTGAGAAACTCCTGACATCACAGAGTTAACTGACCAAACCCTATTCTAGATACACTCATCCTCTGTTTGAATCCCAGGGTTCCCAGGCAAGCTGGAGTTCCAACATCATGTCTCCATTTGATTTCATGATGCCTACACCTATCCAGAGTCCTATGCATGGCATGAATTTCTTTTTAGTTAAAACTCATTCAAATTTCCAGGTGAGAATTAAAAATTTGCAGGTACATTTAGGAAGTGTAAGAATAAGGGCTGCACATCTCTTATCTGATATTGCCTTGAGCATTGGAGACACACACGCACACCATCCGTGCCTGAGAATTTATGGTCAGAATGACACAGACCCAGGTGGGTCTCTCTCTACTTCACTCCCCTCCTGACTGGTTGCCCTTTTGGACCCATGGTCAGGGCCTATGGATTTCAAAACAGGCTCAAGAAGAAAATTCGGAAGATTAAATTAATGTGCATGACAATTTCCAGTGAGAATGACTTTTGTGTTATCTACATCTCTTGACTCTCCGTGCACACACACATCCCCAGTTCCAATCAAGAGAGGCTGGTGTGGCTTAGCATGTTACATACACAGGCATATATCCTACTACAAGCCAATAGCAGGGCCCATCTGAGTTCTGCTTAACCAACTCCAGCATGTACTCCACCCCTTAGGTGTGAACAGTTTAACCTAGCAAAACACCAGGAAGATGAGGTCACAAAATGAAAGGAGCCATCATACCTCAAGCGGAAGTTTATGATTTGGTTCACAATGAACATTAGTCTCTCCCACTAATGTCAGGTAGTAATTCACTGCTGAACAGCAGCCATAAAATATGTTAGTGGCAGGAATGCAAGAGGCAGAGAAAGGGTGTGTGTGTGTGTGATTGTGGTGGCGGGCATAAAATATGTTAGTGGCAGGAATGCAAGAGGCAGAGAAAGGTGTGTGTGTGTGTGTGTGTGTGTGTGTGTGTGTGTGTGTGTGTNGAGAGAGAGAGAGAGAGAGAGAGAGAGGGAGAGAGAGAGAGAGAGATGGCGGGGGGCGGGGGGTTGTGGGAGGGAAAGGTTCTGGTCAAAATATTTTATTTAAGCAAAGACATTTTGTCCTGCGGTAACACTGACCTCATTATCCCAAGTTAGGGTCAATCAGGTGTATACAGATACCCAGAAGCAAATCTGGATGGTGTTTGCCTTAACATTTTTACCTGCAGTTTTTAATACTCTGTGGGTTATTTCTAAGTTCCTAGGCACCTCCTGATGACTGTTACATTTATATGCCACATTTCTTAACAGCACATGCCTTAAACTCTTGCCATGGAAAAGGCTGCCAATAGCAGCTTACCACACATGCACCAGTAAACATAAAAGGCATCCAAATTGGCACTTGCCTCACCTCCTTTCCCTCTTACTCATATGATGCATGCACTAAAGGAGTGAAATTATGGCCATCAGAGGAAAGGTTGCAAATGATGGGGACCCACAGCTTTCAAACTAAATGAGCAGTCAGTAATTTTGAGGGCAGCCCCTGGGTACCTACAGTCTAGCTCCTGGACCCCTGAAACCCAGAGCAAACTCCCTCCCTCTCAGCAAACCGTCAGCCCCCTCCCCTGGCCCTCCCCACCTCAAGCCCCTTGTCGCATTGCAAAGAACTCTGCAAGGCCCTTGACACACATGGGAGATTATTCCAGGCTCAGAGAAGACAACTCTGTAATTATGGCTACAGTATGATTTCCATTATTCTCATCCCCTGGTTTTGGTAGCTTGCAGAACTTTCCACAAAATCCCCTGTGGCTCCAGAGCCTTTCATGGCTGGGCCTCTGCCCAAAAGGTGAGGGTGGTCCTGATAATCTCAGGGAAAAGCAAGACGGAGTTATTACAAGGAAAGGGGAGTGGTGCTCAGGGAGCAAGGGTGGTAGGAAATTCTATTGTTCAGAAAAAATAAATAAACTGGCCAGTTTTGCTTTTTATTATTTCAAAAAACAGACTCAGTGGCCCAGCCTTCCTTTCCCAACTCAGACTGTCCCCCTGGGCCAGCGGTGCTGCGTCTGCAGAGGCAGTAGCCGGGCTCCAGCAAAGCCATTAAATAGGCTGCCGCTCTGAGGTTGGGGAACAGAAAGTTTGGCTGCCCCGACAGCCTGGCTTTCCCCGGGGGGCGGGGGGGCAGCCGGCTCATTCCCTACCACACGATCCTCTGCTCTTACCTCTCAAATGTTTATGCTGCCCCAGTCACACCACTGCTCTGGAAACTAACTGTAATGTCCCAGGTGGCTGAAACAGAACTGCTCCCCTATATAAACCCCCCAAAGTATAAGATGAGAAATGCCAGCCCAAGGTTTACAAAGCCCCAAGCCTCATGCTCAGCCCACCCTCTCGCCAACAGCATGCATTTGCAGGTTGACTGCCTTGGGTCTACAACGCAGCCAGGACCAGGAAACATGTCTTTTCCCCCCCCCCAAGAGAAAATACTTGTATGTTCTGAATGTGCACTGAACTCCCAATGTTTATTTCGCAGACACCGTATTCCAACCAGCTCTGTCAATTACCCCCACGCCCCCCCAAAAAAATCCTCCTACAGGATCTACTTGGTCTTGCCAGCAAGTCGGTGGTCTGCTGGCACCTGGAGGGAAATTCAAAGGGTGGGAATCCTTCAGCACAGTGGAGTATGCGCCTTCTCTGTTGCACTGAGATGGGGCTCGCTAGAGTAGAGTTAAAGTGCCCCAAAGTCACCTTGCTCACTTACTTTCAATATTGCTCATTCACTCACGGGGCCCAGCAAAGCAGGTAAATGGGCACTTCACTGCATGGAACTGACTATGGGGATGCCTTTGGTATTCAGAACTCACTTTTCCAGCAAACTGAACTTCTTGAATCATGGTGGAGAGTGAAGTCATCTGACAACCAATGACAATGTCCTTGAGGTCCCTGCTCTAAAGCTTGCACACTTCCCGCCTCAATTCATGCTAAGGTCTATCAGACACAATTTCGGAAGTTTGGGTATCTGACTTCCCAGCTCACCAAAAGCTGGAAGCCACCGACTCAGGGAGGAAGAGAGGCACCAAGTTGACCAGGACTCCTGAGAGCAACAGGAAGCGATGAGTGACAGTGTGCACTGGAGCAAGAACCTGAAAGGCTTCAACATTCAGACACAGGAGCTGAGCCAGGCCAACATCCCTACTACACCTCACAGCACCTTCTCCGGGCAGCCATGAAATTCAGTTCAATACATGAGTAATCATCACAAGAAGGCCAAGGCAGCGAGAAAATGTTCATTTGTGCTTCATATATTCTTTGCAGAAAGGCAGGGAACTATAAAATATAATTCTTAAAGATACACAGACAATGGTTAAATTACCTGTTAATTGGACACTGAAGGCAGTACACCACATCTGCACGGTCACCTTCTTGGGCAACACTGGGTGGTGGTGTGCAGCCTGGGTCAGCATTGTGGAGTGTCATGGTGTTTCAAACAACATATATTTCCTCTTCCAGACAGTAGCTGTAAAACTACTACACACACATCCCGCCTCCCATTCTCCATTCTCTCAAGACCCACTGCCCACTCCACAGAGATGTGCAATTTAAAGAAATGATTGCCAGGATGGGAGAATTGACACAGTTTTCTAGATCTGCAGAGAACATTTCCCCTTAACCATCTTGAGCTAATGCCCAGAAATACAACAAAGAAAAAGTAGGGATCACGGCTGTCTCAGATTAGGCAGTGATTCATTACCAGCCCAAATCACAAAATGTCCAGGGAATTCCAAGAGAAGCCTAAGGCAGACAGGTAGGGGCCCCACCTGGAATCACCAATATTTCCTTGGGGTAAGACTGAAGTGCAATTACCAGCCAACTCAAAGCAGGACCTGTTGCCTGCTGTCTCTGAAAGGCTTTCAATCTAACAAAGGAGGGCACCCCATGGAGCCAGCACCAACTAACTGAGATGGGAAGCCTGGGAAGAGGTGGGTGAGAGCACAGTCTTGGATGGCTGGGTGGCCCCAACGCTGCTGCTGGGCCAACGTCACCCAGCATCCCAAAGATGGCAACCTCCTGGAGCATGAGGAGGAAAATGCTCCAACTCTAGGTCACGGCATTTGATAGCCCCTTACTCAGCTTCTAGGCTCCCACCGCATCCATGCTTCCTCGTCCCATGATGTGGCTCTTAGCCCACCGGCAATTCAAGCAGGCCCTGCAATATCTTCCACCTGTTTCCCAAATGGAATCCAGGTGAATTCACCAGGCAGAAAGGCTAAAGCAAGACGTAAAGGTGCACCCCTTGCTTCTGCCCACCTTGCTCAACCACCCAGGCCCAGAAAAGCTCTTGCCTTAGGGCACAAGCCCAAGGTGGACAAGCACACCATTTAGGATGACCTCGCAAGGCTACGGTAACACTCCATCACACAACGCCCCCAGGGAAGAGACAAAGCACGCACTTACGCAGTGTGATTCCCATAACAACCCTCCATATGAGGGCAGAGAAGGGACTGGTTGCCATTTATGGCTCAACAGCAAAATATCTCCTTAGCTCAAATCTGTATCACTTGCCGGCAGGCCCAAGGTAGTAAAAAAACAGGAGACAATATCCTTCCCATGGGGAAAGTCCAATTCACAATAACCAAAATGACGGCAGCTCATTCCTACCTTCTTCAGCTTGCCGCTTTTGGTGCCCACGAAGGCCAGAGAGTGGTTCTTATAGACGTAGGCGATGACAGAAGTCATGCGGTCTCTGTCCTCTGTGAAGACAGGAATGCCACGTACCATCTCGGACACGCCCAGGGGGGCGTTCATATCCAGGCCACAGAAATTATCATCAATGGTTAAGAGCTGAAAATTAAAAGGGACAAAAATTAGTCTGGGAGAGCATCAAAACAATTGGCAGAGGTCTTGATTCAGGGAACCACTGAACTAGAAGAATCCTTAGAGATGGCTCATCCGATGTAAATCCATCCCTTTTTGCATAAAACACTCAGCTCCAGAGAAACTAGGTGACCTGTCAATAGTCAACCTAAATAGGTTGCAGGACCCTGGCAAAAAAGCAGATCCCTAGAGTCAGTCATTCACTCCATATCCATGGTCTCTCTCCTACCCTGCCAGGCACCGTCTCAGTGGTTAGGTTGCCCACCATCACCTTTACACTGGAAAGCACCAGGCCAGCATCCATGAACAGGGGCTCCAGTGATTCTGTGCAGGAATAAGAGGAGTGTGGCCTCCACATCTACACTTACTGCTGAACAGACGCACAGAGGCAGACGTAAGAGTGTAGAACAGAGAACTAGAAATATTAATACATGAATGACAATATGGCAGAGGCATATACAGACAGTCGGCCACAGAGAAGAGGAATGGAAGCAGTGGAAGGTTCAGGAATAAACTCAACAAGCCACAGTGGCACCTCACAATGTCCTGTGTCAGGTTCCCTGCTCCTTTCACAGCATGGTGAAGGCAGACAGTCCTGGCCTTGTCAGACCTACACCAGCATTTGCCTAAGTGCTGTCCATGGCGGACGTCCCTGCAGCACAGTTTGGGACCGAGGAAATCAGGAATGAGGACCCCTTATGACCAGAAGGCAGCAACATGCAAGGCCACAAGGATGCCCAGGCAACCCCACCTCCACCCTGCCCCAAGGGGACTCCTTGGACAAAAAAATTCAGGGAAATATACTAAAACATAGTACATTTAAATACCATGAAAGAGACACATAATGATTAGTAACAGGAAAGGAATGAAAAGTCTTTTTAAGAAGAAATATGCCTGCCATTCTCTCAGCCTTTCCCAAAAGTTTTATTCCCTAACCATCTTTGGCTGAAACATCTATTAGCAGGCGTTAAAGAGAATATTCCCTGGATATGCTGTGGGATACACTGACACAACTACTGCTCCTGACTCCAGGATAAGTTCAGGAGTCAGGGAACCAGCAAGAAAAGCCTTCAGCCCATTCCCGCACAGTGTTTTGGATAAATCCCTTTTTCATTCCAGGCTTCCAGATCCCCATGTATGCAGAGGCTACCACAGCTGGCTTCTGTCCTGCTGGGGAGTGGCAAGGACCTTGACAATGGCTGATAGGGAGCCCCCAGGAACCCCGCCCCCCCACCCCCACCCCACGCAGTCTGGTTTGGCACAGACTTTTCTGAGGCTCTAGGAACCTACACTGGATTTCCCCCTTTCTCAGAAAAACTGTGTGGCCTTAGAAGAGTTATTCCAGCTTCCTGTGCTTTTATTTTCCACTCTATAAAGATGAAGGAAACAACTCCTGCTTTTTGATGGGCTTCCATAAAGCCTATAGAGCTCAGGCCTGTAAATGTCTTTGGACTTTTCAGAGAAAAGAGTGAAATAAAATACAAGGTGTCACTTCTTCAAAGGCTCCAATCCAGCCAAAAGAAAAGGCATCTGGAGAACCAGCAAACAAGCTCATGCCAGCAGAGCTGTAAGTGGCCAATTCTGAGCTCTCCAGGGACTGGGGGAACCCCTAAGCTCCTCCCACAAGTAGGAGACGGGGAGCAGGTGCTGTTCATCTCGGGAAAGACAATGTGCTGAGCATCGGAAACCTCTCTCCTCCTGGTTATCATGGTGGGGGTAGGCCTGGCAGGGAGGTGCAGAGCACCGGCAGGCCTAGGCAGGCCATGTGCAGAGCAGATGTCTGCACCCCGCCTCTGAGTGCCTCTGTCCTCTCTTGCGTGGTCTGGGCTATTGCACCACACACAGCATCTACCTCCTCCCCACCAGAAAACAACCATAGGAGTCAAAGTTGGGAGGGAACTTGAAAGGTCTCATCTAATCTTTATGGTTCTTTCCTAAAATGAGGAAACGGGGGAGAAGACATGTGGTGGATGGTGAAAGGGATGATGTTCTCTTCCCACTGGGCATCGCCCCGGTGCCCTCCCAGGCGTTCTGAGGGCGGCCTAGGGCACGCCGGAACTCCTCATGGCCTTGCGTGTTCCTGCCTTGTTCACAAGGGGTTCTCGTCCCCAGTTTCCTGAGCCCTAAACTGTGTCGCAGAGACCTCTCCCATTAGCAGTACCTTGCCCGCGGTGACTTAATTTCTGAGTAGATGTTGTCATCGGAAGGAAGCGAGGACAGCTCAGCCTGGCAGTCAAGGCTCCGCCATCCGCAGCCAGTGACAGCTCCCTGTGAGGTCCTGTCAGGAGTAGGGTTTGGTCTCCTCCCTGTACTGACAGTCACCCCCCACACTGCCTACCTCATGGGGTTGTCCTCAGGCTCAATGAGGCAGAGGCTGTACCGGGGCTCCTCCCACCTGGACAGCGACGCTGTCTCCCTCGGCTCGCCCGTGCCTTGGTGCTGTCCTCTGAATGGGCCCCAGGTGATGAAGGTGTGTAGCCAGGCCTTTGACCAGGTGCAGCCCAGTCTGCACAGATGCTGAGGGCCCCCAGCTGTGGCACAAGGGGCCCTTACTCTTGTTTCCACAAAGCTGGGCCATGGGGGAGGGATTTTTAACCTTAGAGTAGTGGAAAAACACAGAACTCAGGTTCACATGGCAGCTCAGCTGCTTCCCAACTGTACAATTTGACACAGGCTCCTCCTGTTTTCTGAGCCTCATGATCCTTGACAGGAAAGTAACAAGACAGGCCCATCAGGCGGGCTGGGCGAGGCGGCAGGTGTAAAGGCACCAGGTCAGCTGGAAAGCTCTTCATCGATGTAAGGTGATATTTCGTGTTAATTTTTTTTATGGCCTGAACAACCCTGCCAGAACAGGGATGGGCTGGCTGCAGGAAGCGGCCCTTGCATGCATCCTGACCAGACCATGGCTCCTTAAACATGCCACCCACTGGCTCTGAGCTGCAGACACAGGGTGGTCATAGCACTGGGGGTGGAGGAGGGACGGACCCCCCAGAGCCCGCAGACCCAGGGAGGCTGAGATGCAGGGAACAGATGCCAGGGCCGCGTGGGCTGGTCTGGGGAGGTGAACTGTTGAAAGCCTTCCACAGGTGGGGGCTTCCTGAGTACCCTGGGCAATGGGGAGAAGAGTGTCTGCTCTAGCCCTGGCAGAGCCCTCTCCCAGGCCCCATTACTAGCAAGATCAGAGGGGCAGCCAGAGGAGCTGGGAATGGACTGGACTCTGCTGTATCAGGAGCCCAGCCCACTTCTCCCACCTTTCCACAAATATCCACGAATGAGCCACAGCCACTTTATCAGGCTTATTTATTAGCGAGTAATTTCATTCTTACAAAGGAAAGAAATAGGGTCTCTTGGTTGGGAGTATGTGTGCTGTCTATTTGGAAAACCCTATGAACAAACCTTGAAACCTTAGGCAGGGCCATACCCTCTGGGGTCCTTTCAACCCTCATCAGGAAGATACCAAATCTGCTTTCACAAATTTCCTTGGGGAATTCATTGCTTATAAATTAAGACAGGATTCCAGGGACCCTGAGCTCAAGGATGGGACCAGGTTTTATATAACTTTGTACTCTTAGGTCCTGGTTCACAGTAGGTTAAGAAATATGTGTTAAAAGAGTGAATTAATAAAACCCAGAGTTTCACAGTGGTTTACACTGTGGAAGTAGAGGCAGAAAACCTAAGTTTAAATCCAAGTCCCATGACTTCAGGCTCTGTGACCTTGGGCAAGTTGTTTAACCTCTCTGGGCCTCAGTTTATCATTGGTAGAATGGGGATAGTAACAACAGTATATACTTCCTAGTGCTGGGGGAAGGATTAGATGATTTAATACACGTAGAACACTATCTGAAACTTAGCAAATGCTACAGGAAGGTTAGCTCTTACTATTGTTGCTCATCCTTGGACAGGTCAGACAACTTGTGTGAGTCTCAGCATCTTTGCGGAAATTCATGGTATCTACTTCAAAGAGGTGCTGTCAAGATTAAAGGGGCTAACGTTGTCAAGATGAAAAAGCAAAGGTATCACTTCCTAAAGATCTATCAGTCCAATGAGGCAGAAGAATGGCCTAGGATACAGAAGATTTAGCACTTTGCATTAGAAATGCAAATATTTGGGTCCCGCCCCAGGTCCGCTGAATCAGATTATAGGGGAGGGACTTGGGGATCTGCAGCTTACACCCTCTCAGGTGACTGGCTGTTCATCGTGTTTGGGGACCACTGGCCTTCATCCCTGGACATCCCCTCTGTGCTGAGGCTGCTATACACCATGCCAGGAGAGAGCAGCCTGTGGCAAGCACAGCCGCTCTGGAGCAGGACCCACAGGATCTGGGGGCAGAGAGGCCCATGGCAGCTGCCCAGAGCGGGCGGAGGTGGTGTGGGGAGCTGGAGCTGACACTCCGAATTACAGTCTGATAGCTTCCGGCGCTTCCCTCGCGCACAGCGCAAAGGTTACTGTGCAATTACGTGTCGCTACATACAAATGACAGAGCAGTTACGGTTACTTTACCAATTACAGGGAAATTGCTCCCACTCTGTAGAGAGACTGGCGCTCTGAAAAGCTCCATCACCTCAGAAAGGGGATTTTAAACGCTGCCAATGCCCTTCCTCTAGCAGTCTCCCCAGGCTCTGGGGCAGGGCGGCAGGCACCTGAGGACCTCAGAAGCATCTACTGGTTTCTGGAAGGCCAAGGGCCGGGAACGGAGCAGACCTGGGAGACTGGGGGCATTTCCTCTGGCACCTTTGGCGTTGCCCCGAAGCCCCATGCCCTGGTGACACGCTCGCAGAACCACCGTCTTGCTGACACCTGCACCACTCCCTCGTGAAGGCCTCAGTGGTGAGGCAGTGCGGGGACCTGATCCCCAATCACCCCTTACCCCACTAGCAGGACCCTCAGCCTGGTCCTTCATGGCACCTCCCCTGCCAAGTGGAGCTGTTCTCACCCTACTCTCGGTTGCTCCACCTTTGCAGAAACCC